AAGTACATCTACTCCACAGACAATGATAATTACCTAACACCAGTATGACGTAGAGGAGGTACATCTACTCCACAGACAATGATAATTACCTAACAGCAGCATAACGTAGAGGAGGTACATCCACTCCACAGACAGTGACTTCAGGAACCAAACGATAGGGAAGTGACATTTATGCCGACACCATTTGCGGAACACCTCAAACATACCAACGTCGAATATGGTGTGTAACAGCAGTACTTTATTGAGTAATATGAAACTATGTAATAATTTCCTAACAACTTTTAGACTTGAAATATAATGAATCTCTACTACAAATGAAGTAGTCGAATGAATGAATTCCATTAATCAACACTTGCAGAGCATTATATTTTCAATGCGAAACAGAAGAACTGGAACATAAACCATCGTACTGTCTATTCCATCTTGAAAATCGGATGGCTTTGAAAGTAAGCCTGAAATTTGTTACAAAATATGAAAATAAACCGCGTCCTCATATCGAGGTTTTATAGCAAATCATCTAAAGCATGCTTACAAGGGACACCATACCGCTACCCGCTTACACGTACGTATAGTATTACAATTTTATCCTAAACATGTTAATTAGTTGTAATCAAAGGCTGTCACATGACATGCCGTTCTTATGTATGCCGTTTGCGTGCATTTTCATCGGGATCGGCGTGTTTACAAACACCCATTGCACTAATAGAGTGTACTACTCTAATAGTAAAAACGTGTTATCTTATGTAGTAAAATTATATGAAACTTACCTTTACAAACAAAACTTAATAAAACATAATTATGGAATTTTCATAAAACAATTGCTAAGTAATCTTCCAAGGTTTACACTCTTACATAATACCGTATGAAATATTTTAATATATATATTACATAGTACCTTATAAGATATCTTACACAATACCTTATAAAAGATCTTACAAAAGGTACTATAAGATATCGTACACAATTCATTATAATATATCATACATAATGCAGTATAAGATATCTTACACAATTCATTATAATATATCATACATAAGGCATTATAAGATATCTTACACAATTCCTTATAAGACGTCATAAATAATACTTTATAAGACACATTTACACAATACCTTATAAGATTCAGGCTCATAGGATAACATGCTTTACTTTTAAACAGAAGTAAACCGTTTAATTGCGTTTATTAAAATACCAAAATTACTTAAGACTTAACATGACTAGGTAGTTCTATGCAGACATAACACAGGAAAGTCACTTTAGGTAAAACCCACAGGTAGCCGTCCATTGCTACTGGCCTTGACGTCTAGTCAACATGTAACTGTAGTATAAGCCATTGTGGTTTCTGAACTAATTCTATCTCACTACAAGTGCACAAGGGTATACGAGTAAGTCTTCACACAGTTGTATGAAGAAAACCATTTAATCATAGTATCATGTAAAATCTGACTCACCAACCATTATTCTTACTATACACCTAAGCCCGCTAGATCCGTCGGTCAGTGTAGTAATCCTACAACGGACAGCCATGATGTCAACTCCTGCAATTAGAAATCAAATATCGTTCGATGTTTGCAATAGCAGTGGCCTTCAAACAGATCTTCTGTTGAATAACATTCTGCAGATTTTTCTGGTTTGGTACCTTTCTTAGTTTTTTTTTTGCATGCCACCATTTTGCAAGTACAAATACCATAGGAGCACGTAATAAACGGTCATGTAACATAAGTTAGGACCTACTTATACTGCAACTTTAATTACTAAATATCTAAATGTAGTAGATTATTCTTTTCTGTACAGGTCTCTTTACGAATTTCATAGAAGCACGTTATAAACGGTCATGTAACATAAGTATAATGCCATACTTAAATTGCGTCTTTAATTGCTTCATGTCTAAATGCAGTAGATAACATTCTTTTCTGTACATGTTTCTATGAAAAAACATTCATAATATCTTTTCTCGTTAACAACAGGCTAGCCGGAACGGTTGTTTTGTTGTAATTAAATAGTCGTGTTATACTTTTGTACTGTCCCCAATCGGGAAGGGGAGGAAATCGATGTCTTTAGACATAACGTTGTACTTTATTTATGCTTTTTGGGATAACAACGATTGAATTCGCGTAAATTAAATGATCGGCATATATATTTTACGTGCGATAATAGCAATGGAGAATCCACAACATGACTGTATGTATCAATACACGCGGCACGAGGAGATCACTTATTGTTATCGACCGATGATGAAAACATGTCCAACAAACGTTAAAGAGTCAATTACAATTGAAACTGTAAATGTCGTGGATTGTACTGTAATCCAACGTTTGCTTAATTACAACAAAAATTTGTTTGTATGTCTGATTTGACTCCATTTGATACAAAATCATTACGATGACGTCTCATTACGGTCCGTCTGACGTAAAACGTCGATGTCGATTTCAAACGCCTGCTGGAGAAGAAACAAATTCAGGTATAAAAGACAGAAATAGGAGTTTCCCTCTTCGTTATTCCTGACCTTTTATTCACCATCACAGTTTCAAAACCAACCTGTTCGTGACTGTCATGTACACCCAAACCTGACGTATGTATTCATCAATCATATTACACACGACGACTTCCGGGAAGGAGGTTAATTTTCCCCGTGGGCTTTAACAGGTTTTACTATCAGTCATTTATCATTGCTACAATTCGATGAATAAATGAATTAAAAACCATAACACTACCCTTGCAGAACATTATATATTCCATGTGAAACAGAAGAAAAAAAAAATTAGCCATCGATGGCTTACTGTCTATACCGTCTTAAAATCGGACGGCTACGAAAGTAAGCCTTACAAAAAAAATGAAAATAAACCGCGTCTTAATATCGAGGTTGTAGACCAAATCATCTAAAGCGTGTATACAAAGGAAACCATACCTCTGCCCGCTAACACGTACATTTCTATTTGCTCAGGGAACGTACCCCAGCATTTACAGATGTTCCTCATTAGTCGCCTCTTATGATAGCATTTAGTTGGGTCTGACAGTGGTGAGACTGGTAGATAATCACGCAAAAATGCCTTCTGTGATAGAGATCGAATTACAAACCTTGTCCTATTTCTTTTTTTTTATTTTAATGACGAAATATATATATCTACACTGTATGTCTGTCTATAATGCTTAAGAAAAATAGCAACAATTAAGTTAAAATGTCGTTTTCTTTATAACGTTGTCATTATATGACATATAATTTAATCTTGCGTGTAACAAGCTTTTCCATTGGCTTAAAAAATTATGTTATCATTCCATAACGTAAAAAAATGACGTCGCCATTTGTAACGTCGCTTTTGATTGGTTGATACAGCGGACCAATAATTTCTAAGAGAAAAGAGTCCATCAATAAAAGTGGATCTCCACAGAGATTGTGTATAGTAGATTAAATTATAAGGATTAAATTGAATATATTTTTCATGTTATGGAGCTATAACACAAAAAACCTTTCAAATGTCATTTCTATTTGCCCCTAAATAGAGCTCAGAGAACGTGCCCCAGTATTTACAGATGTTCCTCATTAGTCGCATCTTATGATAGCATGTAGTTGGGTATTACAGTGGTGAGATTGGTAGATAATCACGCAAACTAGCATGGTACGGCAGCACAGAGACAAACATGTATGCATTACACTAATAGATAAACCGTCGGTTGTATAATCGTAAAAATGTTTTTTTTTATTTGTTTACTCTGTTCAGACTTTTTACAGTAACCAGAGGACAGTTGTCTCTGAAGTTACTATGGTGACAACATGGCCTCTTTTCCGTCTATAGCCAAAAAAAGATTTATATTAGTAGGAGGTTAAAAGCCATCATTGCCAAAACCAAATACCAATTTCCTTTAGGTTCTAATTTGTGAAAACAACTATCTAAAGGAAGAAACTAGTATAGATGATATATCCAGAAAATCTCCGAGAAACCTTGGAGTCTTTGTCTTGTAGACTGTATAATGTATTCATGCGAGCCATTAAGTCCTATTATTTTTTGCATTTTACTTTTGAATATAAACCAATGTTATATTTATACAAAGGTCGTGTTTTCTTCAACAATTACGGATTTATATTATTGTTTTGTCATATCTAAGATAAGAAAATAACCCCCTTGAGTGCACCAGACACCCTTTTTCAATCAAACTGTTGTACTCGTTCTTTAGCATGTAATACAATAAGACGAAGAAAAAGTTTGAACAAAAACAATAATTATCATTTTCATTATCATATCACCAACTGACGGATTAATTATATAAAACATTTCTACATGATGGTTTAATGATTCCGTACAAACCCTGCCTTATATTCCTACGTAAGAACGACAAATCACGGCTTATATGATTGATGAATACATGTTCAGAGCTGGGTATACGTGGCAGTCACGAACCGAGTTAGCTGTGTATACAAAGGTAAGTTCGGTATAATATAGTTTATCATGATTTAAGAAATGATACATTACCTTTTTACCTGAACGTGTTGTTTTAACATTAGTCATTTGCAACAGCAAACATTTTAGAGCCGATTGACCGTAATCGAACTTCTATTTTTAGCGAATTTCCTAATGTTGATGTTACTTTGATGATTAGCCATCAAAGTATACTCAACCAAAAACATACGGCTAAACGATCATGAATGTTATCTGACTCTTTATTTAAACACGTTGAAAAGAATAGTATATATATTTGTAAGGTCTTTACCAATTGCTGATGGGATATAGGTTTGTCATTCTCTTTATTACAGGACTGCTTGTTAGATGCACCTATTTGTTCGTACGTCAAAAATGGTGACACGCAAACGAAAGACGAAGGGCAATACACAAAAAGAAAAGCCTTCAGAATATAATTCCACAAAAGATATATTTAAAGATCACTCTTATAGCAGACAACGAGATATATTTGGTTTCGAATTCCAAGAGTTGACATCATGGCTGTCATTTGTAAGATTACTTTACCGACCGACAGATCCGGCTGGTATAGGTGTATTACGAATAATGGCTGGTAAGTGAGATTTCACATGATACAATGTTTTAATGACTTTATATTTACATTCGATCGGTGTCTAGTTTGTATACTCTTGTGAACCTGTAGTAAGCTAGAATAAGACAAAAAAGGCAAATTATTCCATGTAGAATAGAAGTTATGACAAAAGACAATGGACGGCTATCTGTGGGTTTTACCTATAGTGACTTACCTGTGTGATGTTTGCAAAAGATACCTGTTGTCTTAAGTACAATTGTTGTGTTATATTCTTAAATACCTCTTGTGGTGGAAGAAAGGTTGTTAACTTTTCAAACAAATATCAATGTTTTTGAATGCCACCACTACAAGAAGGATAAAAATCCCTCTGTGATAGAGATCGAGTTACAATGGTCGTATCTTTGTATTACAAACCTTGTCCTATTTCTTTTTTTATTTTAATGACGAAATATATATATCTACACTGTATGTCTGTCGATATTGCTTAGGAAAAATAGCAACAATTGAGTTAATATGTCGTTTTCTTTATAACATTTTCTAAATCAAACCTGTCCCTTATTTCAAACATTCCTTTTCTCTCACTTCTTTCTTCCCTCCTCTTTGCTGTTTTGTCATCACGTGTTATCGTTTTTATGGTACAATTCATCATCGGGAGAGGGCTTAATAAGTTAAGGGATTTTGTACTCAATTCTACTGGTTATCAATATTATATGTTTGAGTGAGAAGATTTACAAATCCTTGAGAGAACCTTAAACAGGGCTTCCTTCTCATAATAGCGTCTATAAGCTGCACACTTTTTGACAATTAGGAATTTACCTTAAGAGTAATTTTGAGTAGTCCCTAATAACTTATTTAAAAAAAAAAACGAAAATGGTACAAACAAGCCAACATACATTGTTTATGATTTATTGTGCTATTTTTCTTGTTGTTTTGAATACCTGTAACAACTGTCGGCTATCCCAAAAAGAAATAAATAGGAAATGGATTTTGTGCTGATTGGTTTGAAATAAGAAATATGAATTATGGAAAACAATATCCTATTTCAAAATAATTATCAAACTTTTACAATTGTCACATAATTTGATATACATTGCAATTCAATAAAATATTCTGTTGCAGGATTTCTTCTGCTGCTACACACCATATTCGACGTTGGTATGTTAGAGGTGTTCCGCAGATGGGGTCGGAATAAATGTCACTTCCCTATTGTTTGGTTCCTGAAGCCATTGTCTGTGGAGTGGATGTACCTCCTCTACGTCATACTGGTGTTAGGTATTTATCAATGTCTGTGGAGTAGATGTACTTTCTCTACGTCATACTGGTGTTAGGTAATTATCATTGTCTGTGGAGTAGATGTACCTCCTCTACGTCATACTGGTGCTAGGTAATTATCATTGTCTGTGAAGAAGATGTACCTCATCTACGTCATACTGGTGCTAGGTAATTGTCATTGTCTGTGGAGCAGATGCCCCTCCTCTACGTCATACTGGTGCTAGGTAATTGTCATTGTCTGTGGAGCAGATGCCCCTCCTCTACGTCATACTGGTGCTAGGTAATTGTCATTGTCTGTGGAGTAGATGTACCTCCTCTACGTCATACTGGTGTTAGATAACTATCATTGTCTGTGGAGAAGATATACCTCCTCTACGTCATACTGGTGTTAGATAATTATCATTGTCTGTGGAGTAGATATACCTCCTCTACGTCATACTGGTGTTAGATAATTATCATTGTCTGTGGAGTAGATATACCTCCTCTACGTCATACTGGTGTTAGATAATTATCATTGTCTGTGGAGTAGATATACCTCCTCTACGTCATACTGGTGTTAGATAATTATCATTGTCTGTGGAGTAGATATACCTCCTCTACGTCATACTGGTGTTAGATAATTATCATTGTCTGTGGAGTAGATATACCTCCTCTACGTCATACTGGTGTTAGATAATTATCATTGTCTGTGGAGTAGATATACCTCCTCTACGTCATACTGGTGTTAGATAATTATCATTGTCTGTGGAGTAGATATACCTCCTCTACGTCATACTGGTGTTAGATAATTATCATTGTCTGTGGAGTAGATATACCTCCTCTACGTCATACTGGTGTTAGATAATTATCATTGTCTGTGGAGTAGATATACCTCCTCTACGTCATACTGGTGTTAGATAATTATCATTGTCTGTGGAGTAGATATACCTCCTCTACGTCATACTGGTGTTAGATAATTATCATTGTCTGTGGAGTAGATATACCTCCTCTACGTCATACTGGTGTTAGATAATTATCATTGTCTGTGGAGTAGATATACCTCCTCTACGTCATACTGGTGTTAGATAATTATCATTGTCTGTGGAGTAGATATACCTCCTCTACGTCATACTGGTGTTAGATAATTATCATTGTCTGTGGAGTAGATATACCTCCTCTACGTCATACTGGTGTTAGATAATTATCATTGTCTGTGGAGTAGATATACCTCCTCTACGTCATACTGGTGTTAGATAATTATCATTGTCTGTGGAGTAGATATACCTCCTCTACGTCATACTGGTGTTAGATAATTATCATTGTCTGTGGAGTAGATATACCTCCTCTACGTCATACTGGTGTTAGATAATTATCATTGTCTGTGGAGTAGATATACCTCCTCTACGTCATACTGGTGTTAGATAATTATCATTGTCTGTGGAGTAGATATACCTCCTCTACGTCATACTGGTGTTAGATAATTATCATTGTCTGTGGAGTAGATATACCTCCTCTACGTCATACTGGTGTTAGATAATTATCATTGTCTGTGGAGTAGATATACCTCCTCTACGTCATACTGGTGTTAGATAATTATCATTGTCTGTGGAGTAGATATACCTCCTCTACGTCATACTGGTGTTAGATAATTATCATTGTCTGTGGAGTAGATATACCTCCTCTACGTCATACTGGTGTTAGATAATTATCATTGTCTGTGGAGTAGATATACCTCCTCTACGTCATACTGGTGTTAGATAATTATCATTGTCTGTGGAGTAGATATACCTCCTCTACGTCATACTGGTGTTAGATAATTATCATTGTCTGTGGAGTAGATATACCTCCTCTACGTCATACTGGTGTTAGATAATTATCATTGTCTGTGGAGTAGATATACCTCCTCTACGTCATACTGGTGTTAGATAATTATCATTGTCTGTGGAGTAGATATACCTCCTCTACGTCATACTGGTGTTAGATAATTATCATTGTCTGTGGAGTAGATATACCTCCTCTACGTCATACTGGTGTTAGATAATTATCATTGTCTGTGGAGTAGATATACCTCCTCTACGTCATACTGGTGTTAGATAATTATCATTGTCTGTGGAGTAGATATACCTCCTCTACGTCATACTGGTGTTAGATAATTATCATTGTCTGTGGAGTAGATATACCTCCTCTACGTCATACTGGTGTTAGATAATTATCATTGTCTGTGGAGTAGATATACCTCCTCTACGTCATACTGGTGTTAGATAATTATCATTGTCTGTGGAGTAGATATACCTCCTCTACGTCATACTGGTGTTAGATAATTATCATTGTCTGTGGAGTAGATATACCTCCTCTACGTCATACTGGTGTTAGATAATTATCATTGTCTGTGGAGTAGATATACCTCCTCTACGTCATACTGGTGTTAGATAATTATCATTGTCTGTGGAGTAGATATACCTCCTCTACGTCATACTGGTGTTAGATAATTATCATTGTCTGTGGAGTAGATATACCTCCTCTACGTCATACTGGTGTTAGATAATTATCATTGTCTGTGGAGTAGATATACCTCCTCTACGTCATACTGGTGTTAGATAATTATCATTGTCTGTGGAGTAGATATACCTCCTCTACGTCATACTGGTGTTAGATAATTATCATTGTGTGGAATAGATATACCTCCTCTACGTCATACTGGTGTTAGATAATTATCATTGTCTGTGGAGTAGATATACTTCCTCTACGTCATACTGGTGTTAGGTCATTATCATTGTCTGTGGAGTAGATATACTTCCTCTACGTCATACTGGTGTTAGATAATTATCATTGTGTGGAATAGATATACCTCCTCTACGTCATACTGGTGCGAGGTAATTATCATTGTCTGTGGAGTAAGTGTACCTCCTCTACGTCATACTGCTGTTAGGTAATTATCATTGTCTATGGAGTAAGTGTACCTCCTCTACGTCATACTGGTGTTAAGTAATTATCATTGTCTATGGAGTAAGTGTACCTCCTCTACGTCATACTGGTGTTAAGTAATTATCATTGTCTATGGAGTAAGTGTACCTCCTCTACGTCATACTGGTGTTAAGTAATTATCATTGTCTATGGAGTAAGTGTACCTCCTCTACGTCATACTGGTGTTAAGTAATTATCATTGTCTATGGAGTAAGTGTACCTCCTCTACGTCATACTGGTGTTAAGTAATTATCATTGTCTATGGAGTAAGTGTACCTCCTCTACGTCATACTGGTGTTAAGTAATTATCATTGTCTATGGAGTAAGTGTACCTCCTCTACGTCATACTGGTGTTAAGTAATTATCATTGTCTATGGAGTAAGTGTACCTCCTCTACGTCATACTGGTGTTAAGTAATTATCATTGTCTATGGAGTAAGTGTACCTCCTCTACGTCATACTGGTGTTAAGTAATTATCATCGTCTATGGAGTAAGTGTACCTCCTCTACGTCATACTGGTGTTAAGTAATTATCATTGTCTATGAAGTAAGTGTACTTCCTCTACGTCATACTGGTGTTAAGTAATTATCATTGTCTATGAAGTAAGTGTACTTCCTCTACGTCATACTGGTGTTAAGTAATTATCATTGTCTATGAAGTAAGTGTACTTCCTCTACGTCATACTGGTGTTAAGTAATTATCATTGTCTATGAAGTAAGTGTACTTCCTCTGCATCATACTGGTGTTAAGTAATTATCATTGTCTATGAAGTAAGTGTACTTCCTCTACGTCATACTGGTGTTAAGTAATATCAAACGATTGAATATGTTTTTAGTTTGATGTTGCACTCAGTTAACATCAATGAATAATTATAAATATACAACAAAGCCAAACAAAACCATTGTCCGCTTCCTGAGCATGTTCAATAGAGATTCGGTACGTAGTAGGTAACCAGTTTTATCTTGTTTTTAAATATTTTTATTATTGTTTATTGATGAGAGGGATCTTGACCTTTTACAGTGCTTCTTTAGAATATAAACTGTATTTATTTTGCAACAATTATGATACAACTTACATTAATCACTCTAGTTGGCCCGGATGTTAGCGCGTGGGGAGGGCCCGGGGCGGTCTAAGTGTGGGAGGAAACCGGAGTACCCGGTGAAAACCCACATGGTCGGGCAGGTGACTCCAACCATTTCACGTACGATCGGGGAATCGTACCCCGGCCGCATTGGTGAAAGGCAAGTGGTCTATCAACTGCACCACCTGACCACCCTTCTTTGAAAATTGACTAAAATGTGTAGTTTGGACATAACATTTTGGGTAGGTAGGTCGACTGGAAACACAAAATCTATTTTGCTTGGCCTTATTTAAAGAGCCCCTGTTCGTGTGTAATATATAAACATGGACCTATACGGAATGTTTACATATTTAAAATATTTAAGATATTTAAAATTTGATATCTAAGCAAGATCATAAACAAATACAAGCCTACCGCCTACATGCATTTGAAACTTGCTTCAGCATGACGAAAGCTTTGATAAATTATTTTGAAAAAGAAATCAATACATTTCGAAACTTACATGGGAAAAACATGATAAGGATAAAGTAAACAAACCTAATCAATAACCGTCTATGTTTGAAATAACGGAGCAAGTCAAGGGTTCGACCCCTTGAGCCCGGTAATTACCTGACGCAGTAATAACCCTAAACACCTCAAGATGTTAAACGAATTTTTGTTCAAGTGAAAAAGGAAAGAAAATCACTGACCGCGTAAGCGCTTTAACTTCAATTGTAATATATGTTTATAATTTTCTGTGTATCATTTGAAGCGGCCATTGGAATCATGATCGGATGTCTTTACCGATGTTGCCTCATCATCTTCAATGTAATATTCTGGTACATATTCTCCCTCGATACCACAGCCAGTACCTGTCATTACTACTTGTTTGGCCTTGTGACGTTTCTACTTCTGATAACTGACGGTAACAGATATTGGTAAGTAATATATATGTTATAGTAAAACGTGTAAGCATTGCTGTAATAATAGTAAAATATTTATCATTCTACCATACACAATATTATGCCAACGAGTAAAAATGAAATATCATATGAAAAAGTTTTTACGCCCAAAATTTCAACCTAATTGAAATAATGCGTCACTCAGAATATGAAATTGTTTGGGAAATGAACACAGAGCGATACGGCTTGTGTTAAAATATTCCAACAATTCCTTTTCTTAGGTAAATGTTTTTCCAGAATTTAATTTTGCCTATCTCCTCCATAATATTAATTTTTGGTATATATCCTATATACATAAAAAGAAAAAAAAACTGATGACGGAACTACTTTTTACACTTCAGAATGCAAAATTACAACGCAGCTTTTTTTAGCGCAATTGTTTAGTTTACGTAAAAATTAAATAAATGTTTAAACTGTGCATTTACAACGTGTTTGTCTACTTTTTTAAAATTATATTATAAAAAATGTCCAAGATTTTGTTTTGGTATATACCGTATATACCAAAACAAAATCTTGGTCATTCCTTAAATAATATAAGCACAAATGCTTTCTTACATTTCTTGAATAAAAAGCATCGGTAGTGTTTATAACGAAAATGATATATAATACATATGACAAGGTGTATATTAGAGGACATTGATATGACGTAAATCGGGATACAGCTCATGGAATCACAATACGTCATTGTAACATGCTGTTCTAAGAATTTTAACACTTGTGTTAATAGTTGTCCTTTACGAAAGCCTGGGTGAAAACGATAAATTGTCTCATAAACATGTGTTAATTATAACCAGGTTGTTATAATGCATAAAACACCTGTGTGGTATTCTAACGAGTAGGTGGTCCTTACAGGTAGTTAACGCCGATATCAATCTAGATCATATCTACCAATGGTCACCGCCTTTCAACTTTCATGTAGTTGACATGAAGATAAACGTAACACGCTCACCAGAAATATCGCGCTTCAGCTGAAGTTAAACCTGCTGAATGAGAGGGCAAGAGTATATGCATATCGTTCGTGGAAGACATAGATACCTTGGTATTGCACTAGTATTTTAACCAGTTACAATCAATGTAAGTTAGATAAGTTGGGCCCTTGAAGCTGGATTTTAAAACAAAACAGTATTTACTAATGAAGCCGCGTATGATCTTACATTTTTTCCTCACTAACATCACTTTGATATTCTGTTCGCTTTACATGCATATTTTGTTTAGTTAAGCTGATTTTTTGAAAAGTATCCAAGATGTAATATAAGTAGTTTAGAGGAGGAAACCATTTATCTTGCCAACAAATTTCATGTGTACCTGTAAATATACATGACATATATTACACTTTCCAAGAGTTTAATTGATGTCTGTATTTCATCATAGCTCGATCGACTGTCTCCTTTGGCCAGAAATACGAAATCAAGAAATACCACTTTGGAACTATGCCATTCTGAGATTCCAGGTAGGCTTTTAAATATGGTATCGTTTTCTATGAGTTTTTGTTTTGCATTTATATATTAACACCTCATTTCATCCAGATAATGGCGGGTTGGTCGATTTGTTAACACTCCGGCCCTCCACGCAGGAGGTCGGAGTTCGATCCCCGACGTCGTTGTACGCATGGATATTCTGAGAAAGCGTTTTCCTCCTCCCCATATAACTCCAACAACCCTGGTGGAGTTTAAATTGGTCTTGGTAGGATGTTGTGATATCTGTGCTGTAGCTTTCAAGTGATGTGGCACTATACATGATGCCGTTGGAGGCACGGTCTCACTACAAACAGAACACATCACTACGCCATCACACACGCAGACATACACACATAGGGATACATTAGCCATGTGGAATATGACTAGTAGTGATAGCGCCTGAAAAGGCAGCTCAAAGTTGTATTGAGTAATGTACATGCTAATTGTCTTAATTGTTAATTGTATATATGTACTGTTAAGCGATTTAGAGTGTGACTTATGTTAGCTAGACGGGTCGCTGTATCAAATGTTGTATACTGTTATTATATTGTAAATCTTTCACAATAGTTCTATTAATAGTGGGTGTTATCAGCCTCAGACAATTTTTTTATTTCCTCAACAAGGTTTGACACGATGAGTTCGGCAACAAAGTCATTTTGGTTTATTCATTTATTGTTAAAGTAAGATCATATGGGACGTACCTGTATCTGTATTTAGTCTTTTTTGGTTAGATATATCTCCAGTGATGTTTACAAATAACCCTCTCATCTGAAACAGTGTAAACTCCTCAGTGTTTACAAATTACCCTTTCATCTGAGGAGAGTATTAAATATTCATTAATGTTAAACACAACGCCCTCTCATCTGAAACGAGCATCGTATCTCCAGTAATATTAACAAAACCCCTTCAAAGCTGAAAAGAGTGTCATATCTTCAGTGAGTTTACAAACCACCTTCTCATCTGAAAAGAGTATTACATATTCAGCGATGTTAACAAAACACCCACTCATCTGAAGATAGTATCATATCCTCAGTGATGTTTAAAAAATATCCTCTCATCTGAAAAGATTATAAAGTATTCAGTGATGTTAACAAAACGCCCTCACAGCTGAAAAGAGCATAAAATATTCAGTGATGTTACAAATTACCCTTTCATCTGAAAAAAATATAAACTCTTCAGCGATGTTACAAAACACCCTCACATCTGAAGAGAGTATAAAGTATTCAGTGATGTGAACAAACACCCTCTCATCTGAAGAGAGTATAAACTCTTCAGTGATGTGAACAAAACACCCTCTCATCTGAAGAGAGTTTAAACTCTTCAGTGATGTTACCAAAACGCCTTCACAGCCAAAAAGAGTAGCATATCTTCAGTGATGTTTACAAATTATAACAAATATCTCATCAGCAAAGAGTATAAACCCTACAGTGATGTTAACAAAACACCATCTTAGCTGAAAGGGTATCATACTCTTAGCTGAAAAGAGAATAATGTCTTCAGCAATGCTTTCAAAACGCCATGCCAGCTGAAAATGGTATGATATCTTCAGTTATGTTTACAACACGCTCTGTCAGGTTAAACGTGTATGATTAATTCAGTTATATTCAAAACACTCCCTCCCATTCAAAAAGAGAACAAAAAGAAAGTGTCAGGTTTACATCAGGACCAGCTTTGACATGTTTCTGTTTCAGATCTTTGTTATGTACTTTGTGGCCGGAATACAGAAGCTAAATCCCGAATGGTGGTATGGCTGGGGTTGTATACGCCTTGCTGAACATTGGGTTTTCGACATTTTTCGGTATGTTAAAGGAATCATCTGTTTTTATTCTCTTTTGATATTTACGTATTACTAATTTCTGATTACAACTGTTTGTCACTAAAGGAATCGGTTTGTCTTCTTTTCTTCTACTTCAATATCGTAACATTGCCCCAAACAGCTTCCCTGTGCCTCATTGATAAGAATCATATTCTTAAATAGAAGGAGGGATGTCTATTCTACTTTAGCAATATGATTTGGCTCACATTTTTAAAATACATATTCAATTAATATCCTGTAAGCATAATGTGTAGTTGCCTAGCATAATAAGCTTTAAACAATTTAGTTTTAATGAATAAATCCATAATGACAATCTGATCTCTTATATTTTTGTTGCGAGAAAATATTGAACTTTGACTTTTAACAAAAACAAGTACAATGCTTATGTATTTTTTGAGGGAATTCCAATAAGAATCTCCGTAAGGCTGGGAAAAAAACCAAGAAAATTGTCAATATAAAACAAAACAAAACAATTACAGTGTCCTGGGTGTATGCAATCAACAGCCCTGGCCAGGATATCAAATCACGACCTCCGATAGCGTTATTTTCAATTTAACCAATTAAGATGCCTGAAATAAGACCCTAATCAAGCTTCTAGAATAAAATTGCTTGAAACCATGTATTAATAACCAAAATATTAATAAACATGGGGGATGACTGAAACACAAAATCCATAGGGTAGATACATAAGATTCAAGATATTAGATAGAATAATTGTTATTAAACGTCGCATATTTAAAACAATAAAAATCAACACTATCATGCTATTCTTGCAACAAACATTGGATACAAATAAGTAATAATAAGGATAAACAATATGCAGGTAATGGCAATGCTAGTTAAAGAATGACAAGCAAATGCACAGAGGCAACTTAACAGGAAAAACAATTAAGGTACAAAAGCAAAGCAGAACACAGGTAAGCACAGATGGGTAGCATTTAAAGCAAGTTAAAGGGGGGTTTCTGAAATGCCCCCCCCCCCCCCTTAATTTTCTTTAGATGAGGTGTAGTCCTAAACCTTATCACAACAAGCAACCAAAATTCAAATGAGCACTTGGTTCGTTTTTCGTAGGAGCATGGAACTGAAATTATAAAAAAAATAGAAGACAAATGTTGCAAACTAATAATGCATTGAAGGATCATTTTGATGCAACCAAAACAAGGGATAATATGCTACAGTATACATGTAAAAGAAAATCTTGTTATGGTGAGTTATCAGATATTTACAGAAAAATCCCAGAACACCACAATTTGTCTGTGAAAATTAATTGATGCCTGGCACGTTTGTGCTCCCCTTCGAATTAAAATTGTTAAAACAAAGACAGCATTTCTTAGGTGAAAAGGACCCGTAAAACAGGTCCTTGATTGTTAAGAAAGGAACACTTCTAGTAGTTTTATCTTAAACATGATCTGTTTCAGATTCTCTTTTCCGCAGATACCTTATGTAGCACTTCGGACAAATAATAACGTCTTCATTTGAGCAATCTATGCCACGTTTAGTCGGTATATCCAAAAGCTATTTATATTATGGATATTTTTATATTTCGTGTACCTATTAATTTTCGAGATTTCGCGAAGATGGTGACCTTCACCAATACATTTGCTCTTCATTATAAGATGAAAAATAACGAATGAGTATGAAATATTCCCTAAAAGCAATGTAAAAGCGAACATGTATGATGGCCCATATCAGCCGTCAAATTACTATATCTACTCTAAAGACGTTGTACATCTCCTTTTTGACAAACTGTACATGTCAAATTAGTCTTAATAAATGTTGTACACACGCGTTTTGACAAACTGCACATGACAGTTAACTCTTTATTGATGTCGTACACACGCGTTTTGACAAAATGAACAGTTTGTCAAAACGCGTGTGTACAACATCAATAAAGAGTAAACTGTCATGTTCATTTTGTCAAAACGCGTGTGTACAACATCAATAAAGAGTAAACTGTCATGTACAGTTTGTCAAAATGCGTGTGTACAACAGCAATAGAGAGTAAACTGTCATGTACATTTTGTCAAAACGCGTGCGTACAACATCAATAAAGAGTAAACTGTCATGTACAGTTTGTCAAAACTCGTGCGTACAACAACAATAAAGAGTAAACTGTCAGTACATTTTGTCAAAACGCGTGTGTACAACAACAATAAAGAGTAAACTGTCATGTACATTTTGTCAAAACGTGTGTGTCCAACATCAATAAAGAGTAAACCGTCATTTACATTTTGTCAAAACGCGTGTGTACAACATCAATAAAGAGTAAACTGTCATGTCCAGTTTGAAAAAAACGCGTGTGTACAACATCAATAAAGAGTTAACTGTCATGTGCAGTTTGTCAAAACGCGTGTGTACAACATCAATAAAGAGTTAACTGTCATGTGCAGTTTGTCAAAACGCGTGTGTACAACATCAATAAAGAGTTAACTGTCATGTGCAGTTTGTCAAAACGCGTGTGTACAACATCAATAAAGAGTTAACTGTCATGTGCAGTTTGTCAAAACGCGTGTGTACAACATCAATAAAGAGTAAACTGTCATGTACATTTTGTCAAAACGTGTGTGTCCAACATCAATAAAGAGTAAACCGTCATTTACATTTTGTCAAAACGCGTGTGTACCACATCAATAAAGAGTAAACTGTCATGTACAGGTTGCAAAAAACGCGTGTGTACAACATCAATAAAGAGTTAACTGTCATGTGCAGTTTGTCAAAACACGTGCGTACAACATTTATAAAGACTAACTTAACATGTACAGTTTGTCAAAAAGGGGATGTACCAACGTCTTTAAAGTAGTTATAGTAATTTGACGGCTGATATGGGCCATCGTACACAGGGTACTTTGTTTTGCGAATGAATACTTTTCACCACCTTTTTGGACTGAGGTTTTGCATACATATTTGAAATAACACCACTTTTGCATATTATAAAAAATGTTGGTATACAAGTTCAATAAGAAGGAAAAATTCTGTTTTTTACGTTAAAATTTTCACAAAATGTTCAATTAAACTCACATTCTGGATGATAATTATATTATTAAAACACTTCATAAAAGAAAATGTTCTTTCCAAGGTAATACGATGCAAAAAATACGATTTTTTTAAGAAAACTATTTTCAGGCTAATTTTCCATTTTTCGACCCCATGCTGTCATGAGGTTAATTAATCATCTAAGTAATTAGAAGAGTTATTCAAAGTAATAACTCCAGATGTATAAGAGATTGAAAAAAGGTTAAAACAGTAGCAAAAATCTCGTAGCACTTTTGAAACGAAAGTTATGAGGGGGCAGGTCCTATGTAATTTTAACATAGCTGGAAATAATCCCTTTATAAACTGGATGTAAATAATAACGACAAGTATAACTAACTAGTATAAATCAAGGGTTAAAGTGCTATGACAGTGTACTATACAAACATTCTAATATTGCAAAGTCAACAGGGTATACACAAATAGGGTATGCTTTAAAATAGGAACAATGATATACATTTCAAGGAAATTGTAGGAGAGCTAAAAAAACGTTTTTATTAAAATATGCTGCGTGACATTTCTAGTTCAAGATTATATACATGTACAATCAGGTAGCAAGTAAAATCATACCTGACATACATTATAGTAAAAATTATAATATGGTTTCAGTATAACGGAAACAAAATTATGTTATGTGTAAAAAAATGCTTTCCCTTACAGTTCTAGATTATAGATAGGTATTAATGAATAGCTTGAATTTGTACAGGCCGATCAAGCATGTGTAATGTTTACTTCTTGTTATCACTCTAGCGATTGAATTTATTGAAAGGCTCTTAAATTAAATTTTAACGCTCATGAGAAAAACATGCACGCGTTTGTTTTTTGGTTTCACAAGTTTAAGGTCTATGTTACTGTATATAGACACACATTTTCTGTACTCGTTGTAGTATTTGTATTTTTGTTTGTATTTTGAACGGATATTTGTCCATCACATGTCTTCTTTCAACATGTTGTATTTCAAAAGCCATTTTTTGTATTAATGCGAGGGATTTGGACCTTTGCGACAATTGTAAATACAGTATATTTTCCATGCAAACCAGTCATAATGGCACCATAGTTATATGTTAAATATCAACAACTTTAGTTAAAATATCCTTAATATCACAGTGAATTAATTAAGGCGGGACAACAATATACATTTTACATTACTGTACAAATCTTGAAACGGGAAATCCGAAAAGATATACAGTACATATATGCACAATTATGTAAGCATTAAATTCCCTTCTTTGGAAGGTTATTGTCCTATAATTCTAACAGGATTGCAGATAAACTGAATAACGTGCATTAGCGCGTTATGATTAATTTGTCTGCACCAATGGGCATTATGTGAGAATTATGATCTGATATCTTTCTTTTTTGTTTGGTAAGGTTATATAGTGGCAATGCAAAGCAAATGGAAATCCATATTAATGGATAATCCTTAGTTTTGATAGGCCAGCTATTCGATATGAATAGATTGAGGATCTGTATCAGAAAACGAATATTGTTGTTAATGGCTAACCCTATTTTGTCTAGTATACATTCTTGTACAGATGTATATTAGAACAAAATACTGTTCTCTTTTATTTCCAGTCACCCTCCGTATTTTTTAATCAAAACAAATAGACTAAATTCAAAAAGAGAGTGAATGGCATGTGTTGAATGAGAGCCTTATTGTGTGATAAAATTCTCATGCAAAACGTAACGTCTTCTTTTGTTAAATATCCCTTATTTTAAATAATTCACTTGCATTTTGTCAAGTTTGACCATTTTTCTTTATATATTTAGGTATGGTGACATCGGTATTTACATTCTGATACACAAACTAAAATAAGGAATGTTATAATGATATATAATGGAAGTGTCAAAGAAATATACATGTAATTCTTTTTCAATTAAGTCCATTTTTTAAATTATAAAATACATAATTATGATATATGATATTTTTTGATGAACTGAAAGTCATATGAATCGTTTGCAATATTCTTTTTGTTTATTTCACAAATGATATCTGTGCTAAGAAGCCATTTAAGTACAACAGGAAAATAAATATATTGACGAAATATTTACAATTAAAAGTAAAACCATTTATTTTTTTATTTCAGACTCTTTCTGACAAACGATCAGATCAACTTGTATGTTGTACACCGACTTGGATGCATCATAGAACTCTTGATTGGCTTTTTACTTTTCTTCGATAAAAGTAGAAAAAGTGCACTTTTTCTTATTTATCTCTTCCATGGAATGCTGGTGGTGCTATATCAAACAATACCTATCGGTTAGTAAAGGAAGTTCACATATTTTCATTTGGGTGCAATAGTTTGCGCTTAAAATATGGAAAACAAAACAACGTACACTTCTAATGTAATGTTTGGTTCTTTATTAACAAAATAATGCCGGGGTGTCAAAAACAACCTCTGGAACACCGAATCAATTATGACATGTAAACAATGTAGGCAGGGGATGTAGGGATGTTACTATCAAGAAAGTAAAATGTCGAAATCGAAAAATCAAAATCGTCCCTTGTAAAGCGTATACATAGATCGTTCATGTTTTTATGTTGTAAGTTAAGATCGAAGAAAGCAGTTGAAGAATAAAAAGATGTTAGTCCTAGAAGTTATATACGATCCATGTCAACCTGATTCTCTCCACGTATCTCAATTATTCTCACAGATTCGACTTAAGTATATTATATGTTGGCCTTTTGACATATATGTTTTTAAATAACTCATAATCTTTTTATGTTGTCGCCTATCGAGTTTCGTGAAAAGGAAACTGTTCATAAGAAGGCGTTTCGTCAGTTTGATACGAGGTATACTAGTGTAAATGGTCGAAGAGGCTTGACAGATAAAGCACCTTTTAAAAAAGGATGTTCAAGATTGTGATCAAAAAATCTTTTGAATTTAAAAAATCTGCATTCCATTTACATTCTTCTTCTTTACTTTACATTGTCACAATATTGCCTATCCTCAAAATAACATACGCGTTCATAAGGTCGCAAGCATAACGATTTGTACGTCCTAAAATACTCGTTTCTTTTCAATTAATCAACCGATTTCCAGTATAAGACAATCTTGCCAACTGGAACAGTGCCTTTTTATTACTTGTATATAGCCAGGTGACATAGGGATATTACACATTTCACTGTTTTAAATATATTATTTCTATATTTAATGAAACTTTATACTTTATTTTTAGCACTTTTTTCGGGTATATCCATGGCTTGGGTTACGATATTTTGCCATCCAAACTGGCCCCGGGACATTACAAAGACGATGTTTTTATCTAATGAGCCACTTCGTCATTGTCTCTGCACCAATGACGTCATCAAACCGGAATCGGAAGAGACACGTGTAAGCGATAACACGATTACTTTAAGACATTGATATCAAAGTATATAAATTATCATCCCAGTCCTCATTTAACTTTCTCATGGGTTAGTGTTTCTGACATCCATACGTTTACTTTGCTATTTTAATTTGCGAAATTGATTTCCTGCTCGAACTATCAACTGTTGTATCGGATATCAACTGTGTGTTTGTAAGATTAAACTAAAAATAAGATTGCGAAGAAATGGAGCCTTATTAGCATTTTTGTGTTTTCTTTTCTATTTTTCATTTACGCACATATAAGCATTTCCAATTGTTTATCTTCGTGTGGCCTTATTGTTTCCTCTATATCGTAGTCAGAAAAAATCGAGTTTCAACCAAAATTTAAAAAAAATAAAAAAAAATATGGGGTTTTTGATAACAAGATACGTCTAAACCAAGATAATCTTAAAATTTACTCGATGCCCTTTGAGGTACATATATGTATTTTCTATGCTCTGCATCCTTCCATTGTAATGTATTGCGAAGGCAAATGCTGTTATGAGACTACAACAACATTTGCTATTGTAACGTCAACAATCTCTATTGTGACGTCATCAGTTCCATTGTTGTCAACACTTTGCTGTTCATAACTGGTCGAAATAACTACATAAAGCATATCGTATCTATCAAAATGTAAATATAAATAATGAATATTTAAGCTAATATTTTTATAGTCGTAAAACACATTTCTATTGCTGACAAACTTACATAAAGCCCTACCGGATTTATTAAGTTTGTCATCAATAGCAATGTGTGTTATTTAAGGAATGATTTTTATTTTTTCAACATTTATTAGGTCATAACAACAATGGGTTTATGGACATATTGAATGAATCGCGTTAGCGATTCATGTAAAATATGTCCAAAAACCCATTGTTGTTATGACCTCATAAATGTTGAAAAAATAAATATCATTCCTTATATTTACATTGACGAATCCTTTCAGTGGATCGATATAACAACGAATAAAACAAATAAACAGGGTTTGTTCCTGCTTATACACGGGTGCAACGCAGTGGCGAGAACAGTGTTTTTTCGCGGGGAAATGTGACACTATCGTGAGAGATCTTAGCAACCGTCAACAACAATAACACAACAAAATGTAGTTCCATATTCAATGTTTATTTGTAGCACAGGACACGTGAATACGTGGATATTTCACAAAGCACAGTTCAATAATATTTTAAGATGTAAGAATTAAGCATCTAGGTCGGTCGTTCCGAGTGAGTAGTTTTTGTAGTGTATTACTACGCAGTGTGATCAGGTTACTATCAGTTCCCACGTGCTGAGATTCTATGAACACCTGTGTTATGCATTTATGAATGTAATTTTTGTCAATGGGTCTAAGCATACAGAATGTAAATATANATCAAAATCGTCCCTTGTAAAGCGTATACATAGATCGTTCATGTTTTTATGTTGTAAGTTAAGATCGAAGAAAGCAGTTGAAGAATAAAAAGATGTTAGTCCTAGAAATTATATACGATCCATGTCAACCTGATTCTCTCCCAGTATCTCAATTATTCTCACAGATTCGACTTAAGTATATTATATGTTGGCCTTTTGACATATATGTTTTTAAATAACTCATAATCTTTTTATGTTGTCGCCTATCGAGTTTCGTGAAAAGGAAACTGTTCATAAGAAGGCGTTTCGTCAGTTTGATACGAGGTATACTAGTGTAAATGGTCGAAGAGGCTTGACAGATAAAGCACCTTTTAAAAAAGGATGTTCAAGATTGTGATCAAAAAATCTTTTGAATTTAAAAAATCTGCATTCCATTTACATTCTTCTTCTTTACTTTACATTGTCACAATATTGCCTATCCTCAAAATAACATACGCGTTCATAAGGTCGCAAGCATAACGATTTGTACGTCCTAAAATACTCGTTTCTTTTCAATTAATCAACCGATTTCCAGTATAAGACAATCTTGCCAACTGGAACAGTGCCTTTTTATTACTTGTATATAGCCAGGTGACATAGGGATATTACACATTTCACTGTTTTAAATATATTATTTCTATATTTAATGAAACTTTATACTTTATTTTTAGCACTTTTTTCGGGTATATCCATGGCTTGGGTTACGATATTTTGCCATCCAAACTGGCCCCGGGACATTACAAAGACGATGTTTTTATCTAATGAGCCACTTCGTCATTGTCTCTGCACCAATGACGTCATCAAACCGGAATCGGAAGAGACACGTGTAAGCGATAACACGATTACTTTAAGACATTGATATCAAAGTATATAAATTATCATCCCAGTCCTCATTTAACTTTCTCATGGGTTAGTGTTTCTGACATCCATACGTTTACTTTGCTATTTTAATTTGCGAAATTGATTTCCTGCTCGAACTATCAACTGTTGTATCGGATATCAACTGTGTATTTGTAAGATTAAACTAAAAATAAGATTGCGAAGAAATGGAGCCTTATTAGCATTTTTGTGTTTTCTTTTCTATTTTTCATTTACGCACATATAAGCATTTCCAATTGTTTATCTTCGTGTGGCCTTATTGTTTCCTCTATATCGTAGTCAGAAAAAATCGAGTTTCAACCAAAATTTAAAAAAATAAAAAAAAATATGGGGTTTTTGATAACAAGATACGTCTAAACCAAGATAATCTTAAAATTTGCTCGATGCCCTTTGAGGTACATATATGTATTTTCTATGCTCTGCATCCTTCCATTGTAATGTATTGCGAAGGCAAATGCTGTTATGAGACTACAACAACATTTGCTATTGTAACGTCAACAATCTCTATTGTGACGTCATCAGTTCCATTGTTGTCAACACTTTGCTGTTCATAACTGGTCGAAATAACTACATAAAGCATATCGTATCTATCAAAATGTAAATATAAATAATGAATATTTAAGCTAATATTTTTATAGTCGTAAAACACATTTCTATTGCTGACAAACTTACATAAAGCCCTACCGGATTTATTAAGTTTGTCATCAATAGCAATGTGTGTTATAAGACCATAACAACATTTGCTAAAACATTCATTGCTTAAAAAGATCTCATGTTGATTTAATTCAGGCCGGAGCGGACTTCGTTAGCTTATTTCCAACCTTTTACAATACAAGCAAAGTGTCAATAACGGTATTTCATCTATTTTCAGGACAAGACTAAGACCCTCGACTTGTCAAAATCCAACCTGTCTTCAATACCAAAACAGGGATCTTTGCGGAAGAAAGATTTAAGACCAAGTCGTTATCAAATGGCAGTTTTAGTCTTTCTGGTGTTATATGTCTCTGAACAAATTTTTCTTCCATTTTCATATGGAGTTTTCAAGGTGAGGTTTAATACCGACATAAGAACTGGTGCTTTGTATTTATAACATATTTGGCACTGTGGCAATTCGTCCGCAGAAAATATTTGCAATTTATGACGTCAATTAAATACATTATATAACAGAGTATTTAAAATAGTAGCAAGCTGTCATGTAATGTTAATGGAAATACATTTTCAACGATAGGTTGACGTTGATAAGAAGATTACTAGATATATTCTATTTCAAAATTTCAAAAAGGCATGAGGCTTACCGAGTGTCGTTTGAAATATTAAAATTAATAATGAGAGTTAGATACACTTGATTACCACCTTTCACGTGTTTTTCCCTATAAACCCATTAAACGTCTTCTCTCGTCGTTATATTTAATAAGACCTAAAATGTTCCTTTCCTTTCGCCTCTCCTTCGACGTCGCCGATCTACATTTGACGTCACGTCAATGGGGTGTTTTTTTTTCCACAAGAATTATTAATACTTTTGCTTATAATAAGTATATAGGCTGAATAAAGTTATCAATATAGAAATCTTAGCTGAAAGATTTTACATTGTTGATTTCTTGCATTTTTAATGTGTTCAAACATGACGTTATCATTTCAAACTACATTAACATATTGCTCATACCTGACGCTAACATAACATACTACATTTACTTATTGTTCATACATAATTATCATTTCAAACAACATTTGCATATTGCTCATACATGACACTATTATCACTACCTACAATTTTAGTATTGCTCATACAATGACGCTATCATCACCGACTACATTTACATATTGCTCATATATGACGCTATCATCAAAAACTGCATTTACATATTGCTCATACATGACGCTATCATCAAAAACTGCATTTACATATTGCTCATACATGACGCTATCATCAAAAACTGCATTTACATATTGCTCATACATGACGCTATCATCAAAAACTGCATTTACATATTGCTCATACATGACGCTATCATCAAAAACTGCATTTACATATTGCTCATACATGACGCTATCATCAAAAACTGCATTTACATATTGCTCATACATGACGCTATCATCAAAAACTGCATTTACATATTGATCATACATGACGCTATTATCATAAGATACAATTATATGTTGTTTATACATGACGTTGATATCACAAAATGTACTTCCATATTTTCTTCGTTTTATGAACGCTTCATATTATATATATCTTTAAATTTTGTGCGGATCAAATTATAAGCACCGCGTCGATGTTCCTTCAACATTTTACTACGAATCGTTATGTCAAAATTTCATGTACACGTTAATTTGAAATAATTGATAGATTAGTGATATTTTTCGAATTTACCCTTAATGCTTCTATTATAATTTGCCGGCGCGAACACCAGCAAAAAAAAATCATTTCGTTTGGACTTAAAGCTATGTCGTTACAGTAAGGCACGCTTTGTCTCATGAAAGTGAAAACTAACACCATAAATTCCTGTATAATTGAACATGAACAGAATAAGTGATTCAACCTTTCTAAATCATCATTCCAAAAGCGACATTTTGTCTTTAGTTGCATAAATAATGTTTGGCACTGTTTGCCTTTCCAGTAAAGTTTTTTTATATTGTTTGTGATTGGTGTGTCATACAGGGTTTTCCATTTTAATTACTTCTCTTATCGCTATATATCTTAATAAATAGTCTGCAAATACTATCCTTATCTTCATTGAAGCCTTGCTGTACTCCTAAGGTTTTTACTGCTCCCCTTGTCCAAGATATTTGCCTAAGTACTTGTGCTATATTTTCCACTTTTATATATTATCTTTTTGTCTTTTCATAATTAATTTTTGAACCTGACGTTTTTTGTGTCGCCTACAACGCTAGGTGACATAGAGGTATTTCTTTGTCGGCGTTGTCGTCGGTTGCGTTATCCGAAACAAGGTTTCGATAACTTGCGTTCCCTTGGATTGATTGAACTCAAACTTCATACAGTGCTTTCTTACTAAAAGTGCTTGCTTGGGATCGCTTTTCAGGTCCAAAGGTCAAAGGCCAAGGTAAACATAAATATAGATAGAAAATCTGTTTCCGTGCGATAACTTGAGTTGCTTTAAGTCGATCGAGCACAGACTTCATATAGTGCTTTCTTATTAATAAAGCTTACTTTGGATTGCTTTTCAAGTCCGAAGGTCAAAGGTTACGGTCACCATTACTATGAATAGAAAATATGTTTTCCGTGAGATAACTTCAGTACCTTAGGGTTGATTGAACTCAATCTTCATACGGTGCTTTCTTACTAAAAGAGCTTGCTTGGGATTGGTTTTCATGTCCGAAGATCAACGGTCAACGTTACTATATATAGAAAAAATCTATCTCTATGCAATAACTAGAGTTTCCTTGGGTTGATCGAGCTCATACTTCATACAGTGCCTTCCTACCAATAGTACTTGCTTGGGATCGCTTTTCAGGTCCGAAGGTCAAAGGTCAATGTCGCCGTTACTATAAATAGAAAAAACTGTTTCCTTGCGATAAGTCCAGTTTCTTTAGGTTAATCGAGCTCAGACTTCCTACAGTGCTTCTTTAGGTCCCGTCTTTATAAACTCATTAGAGTTGCCTGCGCAGGCGATACATTCACTCCTGAGGAATTTTTGTTTTATCAATTTTGATTCTTTTATATCCCTCCCTGGAATATATAGCTTTTCAGCTTGTGTATTAGGCTCTGCTTGTATTATGTACATTAATGGCGCTGCTGGACATCCCTGTCTTGCAGATCTACTTACATTGAAGAATTTATACCTATAACCATTAAAAATTATACACGTTTTTCCTTGAACATTAACATTTTAATCCATTTTCTAAATGTGTAAACAAAATTAAAGCGACTTATACATGCATCTACCCAGCTCCATTCGACCCTATCAACAGCTTCTTATAGGTCTAAAACAATCCAGATTAAATCCCTATATTTCTAAAACTTCTAACATGCAATATTAAAAGAAAAATGATAAACAGTAGATCTTTTGTTTTCATGGCGAGTTCAGTTTAGGCAATGGGAGATAACTCCAACGACAATTTAAATGCTTACTGAAAAATAGGGATTTGGAAAATTTTAAAAGTAGTCCCATGGGGGGAAAAAAAGCCGTTAACAGCTGTTGTTTGGGTCAAATGTACTAATATTGACCAATCACAGAACCTGTAACAAAGTGCAAAATCAAATTTGGAATTTTATAATAGTTCCCCTTTTTGAGTTGCACCAAGTTCTTACTCTTGAATTATTTCATGTAATGCACAAGTTAATTCCTGTCTTATAATATATTAACATATTTTATAAAATTCTGAAAAATTGTCATCCTCGCCAGGATATAATAAATGTTGACCGTAAATACGGCGGTTTTATTCTCTTTTCTGGCATGATTGATTCCGACATTTTTTTGTTGTTCAGTTACTTTGGAATGTATAATATAAAGTAGTTCATTTTCTATACCCTCATCCCATGCCTCTGTCGTGAATAGAGTTGAATACATTCTTAATTGTTCTGAGAGACGTCACGTAAATGTTGATGCTTTATTATGACGTCACGTGGTCAAAATACCTGCTCACTTTTTCACTCATAGCAAATGCAATTACTTACTACACAGAACGTACATTTTGATTGCGGATGATACTTCTATCCAACCAAAAGTTCCTCGTGGTTCTAAGCACGAAACTTCAATATTAAGTCTAAATATACGTTTATGTTGCATAGTATTAGAGGGGCATATAGTGTTCCGTCTAAACGGTTGTCATTTTGATATTCGTTTGAGGTTATTCAGGTCTGCATTTCTGCATCTTGTATGAATATGGGTTTGGTGATGGATAATGAATAGTAAATCGTGTCGAGTTTCAAAGTATCTGGACTCCTTGCTGATTACAAATAATAGTTTACAGGGGCATTACTGAGTATCTGATGGGATTATTTCATACATGGACGTTGTGGGTAGATAAACTGTTTTACCGGGGCTGAAGTCAATGCTGCGTTATTATTTTGCAGGGTCTAGACTCGGAGATCGGAGGAGTTTACTCTATTAGGTGGGCCATGATGATATGGTGGATAGATAGCACAGATCATATCTTTATAACGGACAAAGGACAATACAATCCCATCTCGCGTCAGGTGAGGTCGACCCCTACCCCTCACTCTTTGGACATCGTCAGTCAATCTAGCTTATTCCCACGTCTGTGGTTAATTGCAAATACTAGTCAGACTACCTTTATATATTTATTGGCTTTTTATGTCATAGTCGTCATGTAAGTAGATCTTAATACTTCCAGACTGATAATCAAAACTTTATTCAAATTTTATGAAGCCACATAGAGATCCCACTTGAATTATTGTTATCTTAATCTTCAGACCTGTTGTCTCGATTGGAGATTTGACATCTTGCATATCAACCCCAAGGCCAGGTGAGCTAACACATCAAAAACCTTTTCAAATATTAAATATTCGATTTATTGTAGATCGGTTACAAACGTGCTTCTTGGTTATATTTGTCTAACCCAGTGCATTTAAAACAATTCAACGACTGTATCGCGAAAGAAGTAAGCTTGGACGAACGTTTTGGAATTACACATATTGCTTGGCTAACGATCAACTCCAGATTTCCACAGAGGTAGGAAACAATAAATCAGTTGCTTTCTTTACCATTACTGTTCAAATGACTTGTTTGCAAAAGGAATTAAACCTCAACATCAAATTAACAAACCAGCAAAATTGTGTTTGAATCATTATAAACGACCAATTACGAAATAGTTCATCTGATCACAGAGTTTGTTTTTGGTAATTGCAGAGATCGGCTAAAAAACAGGTTTTGGAGTTTTCTTCCTGTATCTTAATTTAAAAAACAATAGACAATACTAAAATGCAATTTTGTGTTAACCTGTTCGAAGTTCCAAAGTTAAATTTTGATAAAGATAAATTAACTTAACGGAAGTGAAGAGATTGTTGACAATTTTTGTTAGAATACAAGTGATAATTGATGTAATGATATCACCTCGGGAAAAGAAAGACTAATAAAACAAAAACAAATTATTTTATTTGCGAAGAGTACTGTCAAGGTACATATTTTGAAGGTGTGCCAATTCATCAATGCGTTAATTTGTTAAATGCGATAATGCGCTAACACATGAGGGCACTTAAACACATACGTTTACAATAAGTCATGGATGATCTGATTTTAACTTCAATCAGAAAAGACAATACTTTAAAAAGTAGCGTTTACTATTTGCAACTGCATCAATAGAAACTTAAAATGTATATAACTAGATATTACTGTAGCTTTTCTAACTTCATGAAACCGGAGACTACAAGAAATTGTTATGCTCTTCAAACTTGAAAAACATTATTACCGGAACCGCAAGAGTTACCGGAAATACTAGTACATTTATTGAACTTGATTTAGTGAGTGATAATGTGTCTGCATAACTTTTGTTTTCGTTTTCAATGGATTGTAATAATGTATGAGCAAAAAAGTCATTCCCTATCTTGAGAGTATAACTAAGAATGTCTGACCCTTAGGGTTATTAACCCGAGACTGCGATGTTAACGCATCACTATTGCTTCGAGGGAGAAAACGATTATTTTTTAGGTTATTCAAATTGCGTGTGCTCCTATGTGTTTTTGTTTTGTCTTTTGTTTGCAAATAAAATATATTTAAATACAAAAACGAATAGGTCTGAACATTAATTCACACCACGTACGCGTACACCAAAACAAAATTGTTTTTACATATTGAGTTACACGTACACTTATAAAAACCCTTGCATTGTTTTATAAGATTTTTGTTTTGCAACAGGTGGTATCATCCTGAGGACATCACTAAAGTGAAATGGAGTTTGTTTTCCAACCCTACCTTTTCCCTTCCCATTATGGAAGACTATTGGGAGATGAGGGAGCTTAAGAAAGAGCGAAAGAAATATAACTCAGAATTTACAGATTTGTTATTCATGTCCGATTTCCCAGGTAACTGTAAAACGTCGTTTCTGAGATACAAAATTCCGGAATAAAAGCCAAGTGATTTGGCGGTCACGTGGTATATAAAGGGGTGATGTAAACTTCCGGTGTAAAAGTAAATCAGTTTGAATCACAAAAGCTGAAATTTCACAATCTTCAAGAAAAGGGATAATTGCTAACTAGTAACCTGTTGTAACTATATAAAGTTTTTCATAGTCAAGAGGCAAATCAATATTGTACCAAAATTTTCTTAGGGTAAATCGACAAATCCAACCCACGATGTTCCAACGGCCGAAATAGAATCCATTCACGTCGGAATGCGTTTGTACATATTACACAAATTCTAATGGCTTTAAACAATGTGCTTCCTCAGATAATAGTCTCCCAGTGATTGGTTACATATCATTATTCTGGGCAGCAGACTAGGCTGATTTCTCCGAAGAATTTTCTCGAAGCCAATGCTAGTTTGTAATCAGTGTTTTGATTGGTCAAATCACCAAAAGTGATGTTGTTTTACTAGTGAAAAATACCCCTTTTTTAAGATGAATAATGTTCAATGTTTCACTGGTAAAAATGTAGTAAAACCCGATTATGTAGAGTATATACACGTTTGATTTACATGTATTTCTGTATTTGAACGATTATTCATTAATCGCGTTTACATTTACTGCGCATGTTAGAAAAAGTGTTTATCATCCAAGAAAACCATTTTGTTGATTGAAGCTAAAGCTGATGTATTTGCATTTTCAGGCTATTCATTCAATTTAGAAATATCCAACAAGGCAGATAATACCACAATTGAGGTACTGAAGGGAAGGGTAATTGCGACTGACCTGTCCACTGGACAGAATATGACGGTTGAAGCTGGACAAACCAGAGTTGTACGTAATCCTAGTTTCATAAATCATTGTTACATAGAAAAATAATATCCAACTTCAAAACTAGCAGAAATCACCCTTCATAGGGCTCTTCATGTTTATTTCAAAAGGACAACATCGTTACGTCACAATCACATGTCATCATATTGCAATAGTAACATGACGTCACAATGTTCACACGATTTGTGGACAAACAAGCGCAAAATTATATTGTGGCCTGTTGAATAAAGGTTTAAATATATTAATGAAAGGGTCTTCTATGTTTTCCCGTAGAATAGTGTCGGGTGAAAATAATTGATACAAATGTAATGCATTAAATTTATCTCCGGCACATTCATTAATATGTTTATTAACATTTTAGTTTCGCAAAGATGCGGATTTAAACCGAATAATAATATAAAGAATAAACATTTGTATAGCGCCATATACATTTTGCAAAAATACTCTAAAGCGCTTTACAGCACATGAGTAATAGTATTCCTACAGTGACAGTTAAAAATATAGTACATAAGAAAGGCACACAAATCAGCGTTGTACATCAGGTTAAATCACATTTATCGCCATATGTATAAAAATATACAAAATAAAAAAAGATGAAATGTTCATGTGAAGTAGGTACATGTAAGTACCGAAAAAATTAAATCTAACGACCGACAAAAAAGTCACGCTGATTTCAGCCTTCACATGGCTCTTCAGATACTTAATATATATATATATATACATTTCATAAATGTAAAGATGTATACATGACGTCTGCGTATAAAAAAAACAAAACGTAGAAGTAAAAAAGGTGAATATTTTCAAACTTTACATGTTGATATGAAAGTAAAATCAAATCTTTACGAAATGTACAAATATGTGTACCGCTAAGGTAGGGTACATCCTACTTCCTGTCGTTTTGATTCGTTTTTACTATTGTCTTTATTTAACGACTACTTTTAAAGCAAAAAGAGGGAAAAGTTGTCCTTTCAATTTTGAATAAAAAAAATATAGAGTAAACATGCATATTTTAAAGCACCCACATTTTAATAGAATAAGGCGTTGATGAATTGACGCATCTGCAAAATATGAAATACAGTAAAACTCCGATGTTTCGGACATTGCGGGACCATCGAGAAAAATTCGAAACATTGGGACTTCTACTCACAAATATTGAACATCGAACATTGAGATCACATACATAAGACAGAATGTGATTCTTACGTGACGAAACACAAGCTAAGAAATTCAATTTTAAATGTATAAACATACATTTACAGAAACAACAATGGCATGTTTATCAATACACTGTGGTTTATATTGTGATCTTATGAAATTCAACAATTTTTTCGTTGATCAATTACATTTCTGAAGCCTATACCCCGTGTTGGTGTTGTACATCACGTGCGCCATTTTTGTTGCTGGGAGTGAAAAAACAATACAAAAATATAAGAGAACTTCAATTGGCACAATCATAATCGAGCGCAACTTACCAGTGCGGCACGTGCTCGACTAAGACAGCCGCTAAAACATGGACGTATACAGTACGACAATATAAGTTTGCTTACTGTGTTTATGATAGTTGAGTGTACACATTTACGATTACAGCATGTCAATATATGTCTGCCTACTGTGTTTATGATAATGGACTGTACACATTTACGATAAC